TGTTGTTTTCTTCTTGAATTTACCAATTGAACTCTATCGGGGAAAAAAGGCAGCCGTGGGCGGGTCCACCCCCCTCCTCCTCACACCGCCCCGAATCATTGCGAGGATTTTAATTATAACTACTTTGTGGGGCTTAGGCTCCTCATGTGGCTTTTGAAAAGTAATCTGATTCCTGAAGAAAATGAGGTGCCAAAACAAGACAAGGATCTCGCAATAATTATGTTCGATATTTTTGATTTTGTACGCTTCTCTACGAAAAGCACACTTTCAAAAAATGTGGACTACGCTTTCCTGAGAGCCTTTTAAAACTGGGAGCTCAAAAACTGATGAATTATAAATAATCTTGCCCGTGTAGGACTTGAAAATTCCAATGTTGGTCAAAGACCGTGTCCAGATAAATGTCCAAAAATTGCTCAATGAATCTAAAAGAGGACATAAAGTAAGTCGGTTGTCGTTTCGTTTTTGGACGAAAACCGGGCAAACCATGATATTCTCGCACTTACCAAGACCAAACTTCTCGATCACTTTTGCATTTCTCATTTGATCGGCAAACAAGGGAATCGCTATGCGTGATTTCCTAAACTTTGCACTCTCCATCGTCCTGCCTGCACCACAATGTTTTATGAAAACCGTCAGTCGACCACCGGCTGGAATTCAATCAAATATAATGCACAGCACTCTACCAACACTTGAAAATGTATGAAGTAACAGAGGATGAAGTCCTCGCCGTTGATCACTTCTTTTTCGGGATGTCGCATGCATTCTATTTCGTTTCAGATGCACAGTGGCTTACTGCGTGCAAGGTAGAGTCAGCGCTTTTGTCCCCCTAGACGGACCTGGTACGAATACCCATCCTCAAGGTGCAGCTGTTAAAGTATCGGATGCAACGGTTTCATGTCCACATTCTGTCCCATTCCAGTAAGTCTTGACCGCCTACTTGTTCTGCTGATTCGGCTGTGTGAAGGGGTCAAGGATACTCTTTTGATTCATACATGGTCTTTGGCGATAATAAAAGTCAGGGTAGGCGTTTGATTGTGTAGCCGTAGAATGATTGCCAGCAGCAGTCGAAATATATTAAATTGTTACATTACGGCCCGCCTGCGATAGAAGTGTGCTGATAGTGTGCTGGGAAAGCGCAACAGGCCTACACCTGGTAATACATTAGAGAATCAATGAACCAAGTACAGACTGAGTAAGCAGCTTTATTTGAAGATGATCGAATGAAGCGCTGACGAGGTAAGAAGATGAACTCATCAACCATCGCTTCACTTGTGAACTGGCGCCATCTATTGGTGCCGAACAGCGGCGAAAGTGTTGAAGGTGACGAGACAATCCGCGTAAAATCTCTTTTCTTTTCTGAGGACCATTCCTGGCCAACGCGCATTTGCTTTACAGCAGCCGGCTTCGTCGGTAAGCAAGCCACTTACAGGGCAGGCATGCTAGCTCTAAATCTGCCAGTGTGAATTACCAGACATATACAATTTCCGTCGCCAGCAAAGTCTGCTGTATCCCGCGCCCGTTTTATTTTGAGCCCAGGAATCATGCAGGCTCACGAACGATGGTTGATACTAGGATCCTTCGACAACTATAGGGAAGCTACACAAGCTATTCATATGGATGAAAATGCTGAAGGAGTCACGCTAGAGAGGGACGCCAGTACATCCCTAGTGTAGTAGTTCGCGGAATACGAGATAATCGCTGCGACTGGGCATTGCAGTGGGCACCCAGCAGCGTGAGCTGCCTACACTCAGACAATTTCTTTCATCGAAATCGAACGTATTACATCCACTTTGCAGTTTTCGATAGGGGCAGCGAAATAAGCAGGATGCTGTAAAATTCACGAAGATCAGAAAGGCAGATGAACAGTATTTGGATTCCAGAAGTAACGAACTCAACTTCATAGCGACACGTTCTTGGAGGACGGGTACAATCGCTCTGATGGAGTCGGATGCCAAAGTTTGATAGCTTATTCACTTTTAATTGCTCGCACCTTACGAAAAATTTTGTTACAGGTCAGCAAATTGAGTTGCCTAGTTTATCAATCAATAATTGATCAAAAAACTACTGGTGGCTTGTTGTAGACCAGAAGATCGTGTTAAACACCGAAACATAGACAAAATGTTATGCTCTCTAAAATCTTTCGACATGAAACGTTGGAGTCTCAAGGGGTTCCGCAATGTTCACGCAGAGGGGTGAGATGATATATTACATTTCAACAGTAAGGAATAATTTATGCAAAGGTAAAGAAATGGAAAGGTTCAACGGAAAGAGGCTTCCTGGGCATCTTAATAACGACCTGTTACATATTAAAGCGACATCAATCGATTACTCAATCACAGATCACAACAAGATGTAGCAAAAATCAATGCATACATAAGGAAAATACGATCACTAGAAGTTCTTGTTCATATCAGCGAAAATAGAAGGTCATCGAGAGGGCGATGCCAAGAACATAAGAGAACATCGGCGAAGAGCTCTTGCATTCTGCCAGCGGTGTTCCGCAAAGCTGAACGAATCATGTATTGATTTCCGGTAGAATCTCGATATAGATATAGATAAGCGTAGATGATTTGTAGACAGTGAGGAACTTCCAACTCCAAAACCAACTCAATATCTACATGATGGATCAAGTAACAATTATTCGCCGTGTTTTTTGCCACACATATGGCTGATTTTCCCTTCATGAGCCCACATTTCTCCGAGGGTCAGGCGTAGTCACGTCAACAACTCATTCGAGCCATCCCGGATAATAGAGAAAAGGAAAATTCAAAAAATGTAGACCATAATGCTAGCGTTGTTCACTTGATGGCCTACATCTTACAAACCTTCTGTTGTTCGGCATAGCTGTCCAAACGCATGCTATTGAATTGGTTAGCCATGTTGTCCACAGTGCAAGGAGAACCGCAATTAGGAATCGCCAACTTGTACGGTGGTCTTGTAGTCTCGTTACGGAACAACAACTAAATCGAGCACATTGGATTCTGATTCTTTCAAAAAGTACCTCACCGGTAACTTCGAAGTGGCATCTGCCAACTAGCCACGTTTCAGATAACTCACCTCCACCTGGAAATCCTTCCCCTCTTTGTAAATCTCCATGATGAGCGCTGATGCGTACGGCACCATAAGATTGTTTCCAACGCCCATCGCATACATCAAAGATAGTAACGTCCCATCGTGCTGAAACGTTTGACGTTGTGCTGAAGGATTGTCTCACTAGGGAAGGTCGCCGGGTCGAAGTGCTTTTCACTATCAGATAGGATATATAGCTATTCGTGTAAATGGAGTCAGGTCTTCCATGTTGTTTCGCTCTTTGAGGCACCCCTCCCCTTTTGCCGCTTTGGAAAGTGAATGCACCTACGATTAAAGCGCAGTGGTAGATCTGACTTCTCCCAAGTGATCAACGTGAACTGAGCCTTCCGAAAGCCTACCATATACAAGTAATTGCGCAACCTTCATGAAATGGAGCAGCGACAGAAATTGGTGCAAGACGGAATGCTGCCGCGCCAGATCAACAGCACCTGGCACGCTCAGCGTTTGCAGCAAAAACGACTACATGCACGATAGGGCACGCACCGCATTTGGTCCATATGGTATAGAAGTGGAATTATGTTGGATCAAATGGCTATGAAATACTGACTAGATTATGAGCGCCATCACAACGTGTATCTCCCAACCAACTCAAGCCAGGACTAGTCTTCGGAAACAGGCATGCTGAGAAGTCAAGTCACGCATGCAGGTTGACACAAATGTGAATAAATAAACCCTCACCGAAGAATACAGTAGCATCTTTTTCGGATTATCCATGGAACCATTTGCCACTTTCTTGGCATTTTCCACAAAATTGTTGAGCAGGTAGCCACCAAT